ATCTTTCTCCCACGGAGCAGCTGGTAGTTTCGAACCGCTGACCTTAAGGTTCGCAGCCCGATTCGTAACCACTACGCTACCAGAGCTTCCTTGTTATTGTTAGGTGCCATCAAATCGGTGCTGACTCATAGTGACCTTATGCACAGTAGAACAAAACACTGCCCCATCCTGGGCCAACCTCACTACTGTTGCCACGCTTGAGTCTATCGATGCTGCCACTTGGCTAATCCATCTTGTTGGTGGTCTTCCTTTCTTTCTCTGACCTTCCACCTTACCAAACATGACATCCTTCTCCAGAGACTGGTCCTTCCTGACAATATGTCCAAAGTATGAAAGATGAAGTTTGGCCATCTTGGCCTCCAAGGAGCACTCTTTGGCTAATAGGAACCCTTAAATGCCTTATGTGTTTTGTGGACATGACCCTACTAATCTTTCATAGCATCTTAACTTTTTTATATATAAGCTGTTTTATGCTCATTTTGTGAGTATACAGCATCAAACCGAGAAGCAGTCATTTCTTCATGAAACCCTAATTAGTGACTAGAGACCGTAATATTAGGATACTGGAGGAACTTGTTAGCTCTGTGCTTGTCATTATTTCTAGACCTTCTCAATGAACAGAGCTAGGAAATGTGTACATATATAAATACGCACATGTATGCATACATACATATTAAGAGAAAATAATATCAGTTCATACTGATATGCCTGTTCAGATTCAGAATTAACTAGTTTTAGCTTTGATTTTACATTTTTATCTCTTTCTTACTAAGCTAAAAATGTTTGTTCGAAATAAAATTAACATAATTACTTATTAATTTGTTTTGATAAGGAGCCCTACTGGCACTGTGGGTTAAGTATTGAGCTACATACTGTAAGGTTAGCAGTTCAAACCTGCCAGCTGCTCCCATAAATGTTAACTGTCTATGAAACCCTGTATCGGGTCACTAGTAGTTGGAATCTGCTTGATGGCAATGGGTTTTATTTGCTATATCCATCTATCATTAAAACATCCTATCAAAACAAAGTGAACCCACAGCCATTGAGTCGATCTGTTTCTGAGGCTATAAATAATTTACGGGAGTAGACTATAATTATCTTGTGGTTAGCAGTTCAGTGCTAGCCCACAGTGCCACCTGTCAAAATAATTGTATATTTTCTAAATAAGGCTACCAATATTACTAAAAATCATGATAATTAAAATCCATTTAAAATCTTTCTATAGGTCTTTTTGTCCTTAGGGTAATCCAATTAGGCATATACAGTCAAATAGCTGAGTTTTAAAAGTCGCTTGAAATGATTCTTCTCTGGGTATTAACTTGTTATATACACACGCCCCTTTGTATCATTTTATGTTTGATTTATAGGATTTTTAAAAATTTTCATTTTATAATTATGTATGGTTTCAAACCGAACCTACTTGCTCCATTTTCTCATAAGCAACTGTTCTCTTGTGTGTACAACAGCGGTGCACTTTCTTTTACTTTAAAAGTTTATATTTCACACTGTTACTTCACCTTTAGCACATCATAATAATACCTTTCTACCCTTTCTGATCACACAGGGCAGTGTGATAGAACACTGACGGGGAATGAGGGGATCCCTGAATTCAGAACTGGACACTACTCACACGCATAGTGACATATAGAGGTAGGGAAAGGTGCTACAGTGTCCAGGAGGTACCAGCTTTCATGACGTCCTAAGTTGGGGAGTGTTGGCTTTGTATATTGTGTAGAAAGATGTGCATATTTCCATTATATTGAACCAGACTGTTAAGTTGTAAGTCAGTTCTATACTGTAGGGTATCCACTGGACCACAAGGTCAGTTTGAAAATCGAGGTTGGTGGTTTGAACTCACCAATACAGGGTCGCTATGAGTCAGAACCAGCTCAATAGCACATACAACAACAGCATACTGTGATACGGTATTCCTAAAAGTCACTGCACTATACAAAATTGTTAAATAAAATCCAAAAATCTTATAGAAGAAATAGGATTTGGGGGCACAATACTTAAAAACTTTGTCATTGATACATTAAAGGAACTTGATAGAAATGGTAGCAAATATAAATGGTAAGAAAATACAAGAATATTACAATAAATATGGTACTTTTAAAATAGTGTCTGAGGTTTGATTATGTAAGTGGGCATTGAAAGAGTTTTAGCTTGTAAGGTCATTTGCATGCAGTTTTCTGTATTCACCTTTTGTTTCTTGTGGACAAAAGTGCAACATGAGAAAATGCTAAATTTTTGTTGTGCTTAAATTATTCCTTAGTAATCGTATTGTAACAAACGTGAATTTTAAAACAGACATTATAAGAGAGCTGACTGCATTTTTCTCTTGCTCCTTTAGATGATATGCCAGTGGGAACCTCTGGCAGACGTGCCTCAAATGAGCTCTTGGTGTCTGGAGGGTATGTTTACATAATTTTACTAATGTTGTGAGTAGGGTTATAGGAGCTTGACTGTTTTCTTGACTTTAGGCTTTATTTTGTTTCCTTTTTAATAATTTATAATTTCTTTTTGAAAATGAAATATTGTAAGCAAAGGATGGAGAAAAATAAAGTACAAAGAATGTGATCATTAGCCGTCCAGCCATCCTTCCACATTGCTAGATCCTAATACTTGCTGTGTTAACATTTTTAAATGAAATAAGGTATCATAAAGTACACCGCAATCATGCAGATACATAGAGATATATGTGTATATGTACAAGAGGGCATCACAAAATTTGTGGAAAACAATTGAAAAGATAATGGAACTTTTCCATAGACTTTTAGAAGCCCTTTTGTATCCATATTATGCATAGTTTGCATGTTTTATATAAGTGGCATAATATATATTATTTTCCAAATATGTTTTTCACTTAACAAGTCAAAGCTAAACAGATTCTAAATGTTATGGGCTACAGTGGTAAGGACAGTGGGCATGTCACACATGTGAGTACAATAAACATAAGCTTTCTTTAGCTTTTTTGCTTAACTTTTTATTTTGTCTCAATTTCAAAGATACTAAGCAGTTTTAGTGGCATAGTGGGCTACGTGTTGGGCTGCTGACCGGAAGCTAAAATCTCAGCTGCTCTGTGGGAGAAAGATGAAGCTTTCTGCTCCCAGTAAGATATACAGCTTCATAAACCCTGTACAGGGAACCCTGGTAGCTTAGTGGATTATGAACTGGGTTGCTAACTCTAAGGTTAGTAGTTCCAATCTACCAGTCACTCCACGGCAGAACCGTGTGCTTTTCTCCTCCAGTCAAGATTTCAGCCCCAGAAACTCGATACAGGACTGCTATGGGTTGGTGCTGACTGGGTGGCGCACTACCACCACCACATATATTTGTGAGGAGATGTGTATCAGTCAGCTTTTGATAGGCTAGCAAGCAACTTCAGAACTTGAGTGGCTTATCGTTCATGGTACAGTTTAATTTGGATAAGCTGTGACTGCTACACGTGTCACCTTTGTTCTGAGATGCAGATTGGAAGAACAGCTCCTATTTGGGATATGTTGTTTTCAAAGCAGAGGAAAATAGAGTGGTGGCCGAACCCCAACCACGGTGCCTAATGTTTCTCTTGTGCTTTCACTCTTTCCGTTTGTTCTGAGAACAACATGTCCCGAAGAGGAGGTGCTCTTTCAGTCTGGATTCTAGTATGAAGGCATGTGAAGGGGTTTATGGGAGGGAGTACACTAGAGGTAGGTGCAAAGAGAGGGAGTGAAAATTTTGAATTGTTGTTAGGCTTGAGCCCATGGCTGCGGCCTCTGTACCAATCCCATCTCGTTGGGGATCTTCCTCTGTTTCCCTGAGCCGCCACTTTACCAAGCATGATGTCCTTCTCCAGGGACCGTAATCCTCAGACTTCCATTTTTTTTCTTGAACACTTTAAAGAGGTCTTGTGCTGCAGATTTGCTTAGTGCAGTATGTCATTGATTTCTTGAGTGCTGCTTCCATGAGTGTTGACAGTGGATTCAAACAAAATGAAGTCTTTGGCAACCTCGATCTTTTCTCTGTTTGTCATGTTGTCATTTACTATGGTGCAGATTTTTGTTTTTATATTTTGCTGCAAACCATATTGAAGTCTATGGTCTTTGACCGTCATCAGTAAGTATTTTTAAGCCTCTTCGCTTTCAGGAAGCAAGTTTGTATTATCTGCATGACGCAGGTTGTTAATGTACCTTCTTCCAGAGGCCACGTTTCTCTTCATATAACCCAGCTTCTGGGATTGTTTGCTCAGCATACAGATTGAATGTTGCTGTTGTTAAGAGGCATAGAGTCTGTTTTGATTCATAGTGACTCCGTGCAGGCATTCCAAAGAGCTGCTGGTGGGTTTGAACCGCCAGCCTTGCTGTTAACAGTCCAGTTTTATCCTACAGCACCACATGGTGAAAGAATGCAATCTTGGTGCATACCTTTCCTGATTTTAAACCATTCAGTATCCCCTTGTTCTTTATGAATGACTGGCTCTTACTCTGTTTGCAGGTTCCTCATCAGCATAATTAAGTGTTCTGGAGTGCCATTCTCTTCAGTGTTGTCAATAGCTTGTCATGATTCACATAGTTGAAAGCCTTTGCGTAGTCAGTAAAGCATAGGTAAACATCTTTCTGGTGATAAGCACTATCTCAAGGTAATTAAGTACAAGTGGAAACAGAAATATAAGAAGAATACTAAACGCTAGGCTGTACACAAAATTAAAATGGTTTTCTGCAAGGGAAAGGTGTATTCTTCATGAAGTCATTAAGATTTTGTATCTCCATATTCCAACGACATTATCTCTTCTGACGATTTCTGACATTTTAATAATAGCATATTTAATTCTTTCCTACAACCTCACTATCTTCGTTATCTAGTGTTGCTCTACTTAAAATACCACAAATGAGTATCTTTAACAAACTGCCGGAGTGCTGGTGTGGCACTGTAGGATAAGCACTCCACTGCAAGGTTGGTGTGGACGGCAAGGTCGGCGGTTCAAGCTCACCAGCCACTCCTTGGAAACCCTATACAGGGGCAGTATGAGTCTCATCTGACTCATTGACACTTAACAGCAACAACAACAAAAATAAAAACTCACCGAAATTTATTTTCTCGGAAGTTCACATTTAGGGTATACGTTCTAGGGGAGCCTTTCCGTCTCCGTCAGCTCTGGGGAAGGTCCTTGTCTATCTTGAGCTTCTGCTCTCCGGCAATTAGATTGTCGCTTGGCATCTCTTTCCTTCCTCTCCGCTTCTTCACTTGCTTCTTTCTATTCTTTTGTATTTCAAAACACATAGATTTAACGCACTCCCTACATCAATACGATTTCATTAACATACAGAGTACCCATTCCCAAATGGGATTATAATCACAGGTATAGGCATTAAGATTTACAATACGTATGTAAGGGCTTGAAAGAGTTTGTGGAAAATGATGTTAAAAGTTAATAGAATTTCCCATGAAATTTTTGAAGTCCCTTTTAATTTGGGGGAAGGTACGCAATTCATACCCCTCACTTACATTGAAATTGCTTTGACACTTTTTGTTTTATTGAAATTGGTGTTTTTGTTTTGTTTGTTTTAAATTTTATTCTTGCTGCTTAGCGGTCAGAAATTTTCTTAGAAAGCCTGATTTCAGTTTTACAGTATCGCCGCTGCTGCTGTTAAAGTGCCGTCGAGTTGGTTCTAACTCATAGCGACCCTATGTAGGATTTCCAAGGAGCCACTGATGAGTTTGAACCACTGGCATTGCTGTTCAAATGACCTTGCTGTCCAGTGCTTATCCTACAACACCACACCAGGAGTCCCAGTAATATATTGTTGTTAAGTGCCGTCGAGTTGGTTCCGAACTATAGCAACCCTGGATAAGGTGTCCAAGGAGCGGCTGCTGAAGCTTGAAGTGCTAACCTTGAGGTTCAGACTGACTTTGCAGTCCAGCACATTAACCCACAACTCCACACCAGGACCCTAGTGGGCACAAATTTGCAATTGTGGTCTACCATTTCAGGAGACTGTAGCTTAGTTTAGGAGTGTAATATTGCTGGTTTTACAGTGTAGTGTAAAAGTGACACTGTTGTGGTGTGGTGCTGCAGGGTAATGGGTTATTGCAAAGTCAGTTTGAACCTCATGGTTGGTGATTGAAACCCACCAGCCTCTCCTTGGAAACCCTGTACAGGGTTGCTGTGAATCATAACTGACTTGATAGTACTTAACAACAAAATGATTTCTCTTAGATATATTAGTAATGACCTGTCCCAATGAGTACCTTGTCTGTTAAGGTTTTCATTCTGGCTCTACAATAGATGTGTAAAGGTGTACATTTTCTTGGCTTTTTTGATGGTTGCCACAACCTTGGTTGTTTTACATGTCTACTAGGTCTCTAGTAAATGTCTGCCTGGTGCTCATGAAGGCTCCGGAGTTGCTTTTTAATAGTCTAGATGCATCTTAGCATTTGATGGTGTTTTGTTTTTTTATAACAACATAAAATTCTATGAAAGATACTCCAAATTAGATCCTGAAATTTTACAATTATATAGTCTTTATTTATTAGTAAAGCAGGTTAAACAGGAAGTTCCAGTAGTGTCTCGGCAATTTTTTAATATATGTATATGGATACATAGATGTGCTTTCCAGAGCAGCTTTGTTTCTAATGTATCTTGGAATCAGTCACCTAGGTGACCAATGTTGATCATGATATTTTTCATATGTTGTTTATATCCTTTCCTGTTCTACATTGCTTCCAAATTCATTTTCTTTTCCTCCATTGTTTTAAAATCTAATTTTGATAGTTTCTCAGATAAATAAAAACCAGTTTCTCCTCTTCCTGGTTTTCCTCACTTTTTTCTTCTACTGGTCTTCATGCCCCTCAACACTATTTTTTTTTTTTTTTTAAGAGCTTTTATTTGGAATTGAGTGAAGGTTTACAGGGCAGATCATCAGTTTTACATTGAACAAATCATTGCAGTGATTTCAATCCCCTCTGTGCAACATCAACTAACAGTATTTACCTCTATTACCTCTTTTGTTTTTTGATGTACACATACAACATTGAAAATATATATTCATTTAAATATTCAAAGGATCCATTTTTCAAGCAAGCACCCTTACCCACAGGCATACCACCTTTTTCAGTCCTGGGGCCTATAGCCCTCTGATGTTCTCTCTGTCTTTCTGTGTCATCTCCTCTGCCACCATCTCTGTTGTCGCCACTTTTCTGGTTAGGCTCCCTTGCTCCTCTCAGGTTTTTCCCTCTTGATGGTCCTAGGATCCTCTGTTCCTGAAATGACAGATTTAACTGTTCCCCCCTATTAGTTAACACTTCTTCTACATTTACATTTGTGACCATTGCCATTAGTCCTGATAACAGTTACTCACAATTGACTCATGAAGTCCTATCCTCATCATCACCCAAACCACCTGAGCAAGATTCTGTGGGGATTCTGTCTTATCCCCCTCATTCTGACACTAAGCACCCCTCATGAAAACTTGTAAGCCAGCTACTTCATGCCTTTATATTCCCCCACTTTTGATAGCTGAAGTCTGTAGCTGTCCCTATCAACCCAGCGTACTGAGGAGGCAAGCTTGATCCATGATCTGAAGAATATTGCCCTTTTGGTTGGAATTTTGGGCAACTTCATCCATAAGCAAAGGTCCAGTTCATCAAGTGTAGCAATTTATGTTTGTTCCCTGTGTCACAGTCATCACAGAACCTTGCGCGCATGACGTAGGCACGTGGCCTCTCTGAGAAGAGCAGGGCTATTTTTCTTCCTGTTAGTGAAAACTGTTCATTGCTTTTTTAGTCTCGTTTCTATAGCCTTGCAATGAGTAGGAAATCTCCACTGCCTGTGTGGTTTCTTATGTATAGGAGATGGGTCTAATTCAGTAGCTTCTTGCATAAGTTGCAAAGATCAAAGATGATCCCGCTGTTGTTGGTATTTCTCACACTAGTCAGGTAAGGACAGCAAAAACACATTCAGTCCCTCGTGGATCTGTTCATAAACATCCCCTTCCATCACGGCAAACACATTCCTTCCAACCTGTACAATGTATTTTCAGTCTTCGTAAAGTCAGTTTCTTGGGAACAGTTATGTGTTCATAACTTTCAAAAACATTCCCATTATCTTTGCTTTTAAAACTGCCTGTTCTTTCACCAAACGTGTTTTCCTAGAAATATTTTTCTGTCACATCGTAAATGAATAGCTGAATGCGGGTATATGAAACTGTGTTTTGCTGACTTAATGGGCTTTTTCTGTTGATGTAGAGGAATTTTTTCCAATTCTTGTTCCAAGTCAGTCCCCAATATGCTTATGAATGCCAGAAGAGTTCTGTAACTGTCGGATGTGGTTCTTTTACTTTTATTTATTTATAAGATCTGTTAACAATGAGTCACATGAAATTAAATAGGTCTTACTGATATTGCATTCCTTTTTCAATCAATTATGATTGCAGGCAATGTCAGCCGAATGCATCACCTCATAGTGAAACCGCACCAATTCCTGTTCCTACTCAGCTAAGGAATTATCAGCGCATAGAGCAGAATCTGACTTCTGCTAGCTCCGGCACAAACCTACCTGTGTCCCCAAGGTAAGTGGTACTGTTTTCCTTTTGTAGTCTTTTTATTTTCATTACAGAATTAATTTAATGAAAGGTCTATCATTTTCCAGGAAAGTATGGCAGTATAATACATACAATAATAAAAATTGTTCTGTAGTGAATATACTTAAATGATATTTAAACATGGCAGGATAATAAATGAAGCACATGGATGAGGTTAAGTCAGGAAATAGTGCTAAGTTTATGGAAATGTTTATTAAGTAAAAATATCAAAATGTGAAGCTGTTGTTTTTCGACATAACCTTCATCTAGGTCTATACACTTCTGAAGGTGGTGTTTCCATCTCTAATTCCAAAAGAGTCCTGAATTCTTTGATTACACCACACTAACATGAAAATTTTGGCATCCTTCAGGGACTCAGTGTTCTTATTAAATATTCTTAAAATTTGGGGAACAAAAGAAGTCTGAAAGGGCCTGATGGGGATGTCAGGTGGATGGGTATGTTTTCTCAACGTCATTTTTATGGGATGGCTTTTTGTTACCGTTGAAGAATGAGGAGATGCGTTGTGATGAAAAACATTCCGCAGTGCAACTTTCCATTTTTCCACCAGTTCTATTTTTAATTTTCTTCAAACTTCACAATAAGTTCCTCTGATTGTCTTTTGTCCTTCAAGAAAATCTATTAAGAGTACCCCTTTGAAATCCCAGAAAACAGTCACTATAATATTCTGGGCTGACCTCTCTGCCTTGAATTTAACTAGCCCATCAAGTTCCCTCAGAAGCCACTGCTTTAACTGGACTTTGCTCTGGGTTTTATTGGTAAATCTGACTCGTCCCTACTTATGATTGGCTCCATAACATTTTCTTCATTGTTTTTTTATTTTGCTTTAAGAGGCTGTAGGCGAGATTGGCTCGTTGAGATAGGTGATTTTTTCACAATACTTTTGATACTTGTCTTAGTTGCCAAGTTCCCATTCAGAGTGCTGGTACTAGAGGGGAGCTTTCTGCCTTTGTTACCTCCTTTACAGAAAGAGCCTTGTGTCTCCTTTCAGAAGTTTTTCATGTGGCGTTCTTTGGAGCTATCCATGGGTATTTGGCACTAATGTTACCTTTGGTCTAGGAGTTTCTCAGTACAGAAACCCCGTACCCAAAGGTCTCCTTCTAATCTTGGGTCTTCATTCTTAGTGGTAGTAGGTCCCGCTGTCTCTCTCATAAGATAAAAGTTGTGACCTTGAGGGAAGGAGTCCTGGGCCTGGTGGCTCAGAACCATAGTCTCAGGGGGATACCAAGGCCAAGTGGCATAATATAGTCCACGAAGAATAATGTTCTACATGCTCATGTGGTGAGCAGGGGAGGGTCTTAAAGCTTATGAGTGGCCATCTAAAGTGAATCTATTCATCTCTCCCTGTTTGGGTGTAAAAGAGGGAAGAAAATGAAAGATTCAATGAAATTGTTAGCCCTGTTGACAAATAGGCTATTTGAACATCGTTTCCACAACCCTAGATCAGAACTAGATGGTACCTGATACCACTACTAACTGCTCTGAGAGGGAGTTACACTAGAAGTTCCTTGTTGGAATAGAGAAAAATGGAGAACAACGCTCAGTCATAAAAAAGGGCAGGTTTTGAGCCCATGGACAAGGACATAGCCACAGAGGGCTAGAGCTGGGAGTGAAGCATCCAGCTGATACGAAGTGTGGGGAGACACTCAAGAGCAACCAAACTTGGAGATAGTGCCCATTTGACCTAACCTTGATGGCTTGATGATCAGAACTTGACGAAAGGAAGATTAAAAAAATATATATATATATTTATATATATATTTTTTTTGGATAAAGGAAACACGAGGATAAATTGCTACAGTTTGATGAACTTGACCTATACTCATGGATGTAGTACTCAGAATACCAACAGAGAGGGAAGGAGTCTTCACATCAAGTATCAATGCTAGCCCCATCATTAAGGGACTGATTTCCTATGCTCTGCCTTTGAAAATGGAACACTGTGTTTTCCAAAACGAATACAGAAATGTTCCATATATGTGGTAGATACATTTCCAAGATCTATTATAAAATAGAAAAGCAAAGTGATTAAATTCAGTTAAGGATTGTCTCTCAAAGTTTGGTTTGTGATCCATATTAGAGAGTCTGAGGTGAAAACTATTTTCATAATAATACAAAGACATTTGGCTTTGTCAGAGTCTTCTTGTATGTACTGGTGTTTAAAAGTGATGATGGGTAAATTGCTGGTCCCTTAGTGGGAAGCACACCAGTGGTATCAGTGTGTACTGCCATGCTGTAGACACGTAGTACAAAGGACTGACCTTGATGATTGTTGTTAAGTGCCGTCAAGTCAGTTCCAACTCATAGCGACCCTGATAAGGTTTACAAGGAGCGGCTAGTGGGTTTGAACTGCCGACCTTGTGATTAGTAGTTCGCTGCTTATCTAGACAACGACTCCTAAAAATGATTAATCCATAAAAATCTTGACCTTTGAGTGCAGTGTATACACATAGTATTTTTGCTGCATGTTGTAATGGTTATATGAAAGAAGGGTATTAGTATCTGATGAGTTTATTATTTTCAAAGGATTAATAAATGTGTTTCATTTTCTGTCTTAATTTGTTATACAGACAATATTACGATCTCTGTTACATAAGAGAAACCTCTTATAATCCTCTGTAATTTTTAATAGTGTAAAGGAAACCTATCTTAGTTTCCTAGTCCTGCCAGAAGAGAAATACTACGGTGGATGACTTCAAAGAACACAAATTCATTTTGTTGTAATTCTGGAAACTGAAAGTCCACCTCAGGATCTTGGCCATGTTGATTCTTTCTGTGAACTTCTTTCTCTCCGTGTTTCGGGGTGTGCTGTCTTCTCTTAGTGTTCCCTAGTACCATTCTTCCCCATACGTGTGTCTCTGTGTTTATTGTGATTTTTGTATAATTCAGAAGTAATTGGGTTTAGGACCTGTTCTACTTAGATGTAACCAAATTCACATAACAAAGATAATTTAATTGTTAAACACACCCACACTTCAGTACATAGGTTGGACCACACAATTCAATTCCTAATAGGACTTAAGACCCAAATGATGAAATATGGTTAATGTATATTACCTTTTGTGTGAAAACAAAGGAAGTAAGTGTTTGCTTGTGTATGAATAAGATAACTTAGAAAGTGTGTGTTGGTGTTTAGTGCTGTCCACTTAGTTCTCACTTGTAGCTACCTTGTATTTGGTTTCTGAGAAGAAGCTGGTGGGTTTGAAACTCTGACCTTGCTGTTAGCAGTTGCATATATAATTTCTTTTAGGAAGGTCAACTCTCAGTTGGCCTGTAGACATTTGGGTGGTTAAAGATATCCCAAATACCTGACTTTTTCAACATGTTAACACCACTCCATAGTTCCTGGACACAATCACCACTCCTCCCCTACCTCATGTCCCAGTTTCTGCAACTCACAGAACTCAAAACTGTCAAAAAAATGGATGATACAGTTGTGGAGGCTGTTAAGTCCCATCTCTGTAGTTCAGAGGTCAGACTGGAAATTTTCCTCACTCATGTAGCTTCGGGAGCTGAGAGACCAAAATTGTCAGGTCAGATGATAGGCTGTTGATGCAGTGAGGCTGCGGGAGCTGGAGAAAAAGGTCAGGTAATAGGCCACAAGTCCCGCAAGCTAGAGGTCAGATGTGAAGAGCCAGATGATAGATCCAGAGCAAGTATGCAGACTTTGCCCAAACAGCCCTATATATTGGCCTCAGACTATGCCCCCAAGGAAAACTAAAAGTGGTGACCCCCTCTAGTTTGGTGGGGGCTTCTTTTATCCTTAGTTTCACCTTAATCTGTTCTCTTTATTGTTGTAAAGTGCCCTCAAGTTGATTCTGACTCGCACCAACCCTGTATAGGGTTTTCCGAGGAGCGGCTGGTAGGTTTGAACCACTGACCTTGCAGTTAGCAGTCCAGGGTTTATCCTACAGTGCCACACCAAAACTCCTTAGTCCTACCTAATGCTACCTCATTAACAACTCACTTCAGAATGAGACCATAATCACAGGCCTGGAGCCTGACCACATCTCTGCCCTTCCAGAGAGGATTCTTACCTTCTACTGAGTAAGAATTGTCAGCTTTCCACACCAGCAAAGGTTCTACAGGAAAGTGGTTACAATTGGCGATAGGGAGGGCTGTGAGTCCTCGTCTGGCACTGTAGGATAAGCGCAGGACTGTAAGATCGGTTTGAATCACAAGATTGGTGGTTCAGACTCACCCGCTGCTCCTCAGAAACCCTATGAGTTGGAACCCACTCATTGGCACCTAACAACAACAACAGAATGCTTATCCACTCCCCCACTCGCATCTTTTGAAACAGAGACTTTGCGGAGATCTCAGAAATTGGGGATGGGGAAAAGGCATCATGTTTATTCGTAGGGGTAGGCGTGGATATTGGGAAGTGGCCCATTGAGAAGGGGCTGTGCTTACTGTGTGTGTTTGCTGCATTTCAGAACTCACTCTGATGTTGAGCATGCGTGTTTCTTCTGAGCTGTTATAGGGCAGGTCTGGGACTCTACAATTGTGAGCCATTTTTTGGATGTAAACTTCTCTTTATATATTCATCTTTATATATAAGCTTCACTGGTTTTGTCTCTCAGGAAAACCTGGTCTAAGACAGCAGGGATTAGAGGTATGGTTGGTTAAAGGTATGGGTCCTCCAGTTTATAAAGGGTCGCAAAGAGACAGGACAACACGTGCTTTTTCTAATAACCTGTTGGTAAAATTGCTTCCTTAGTTATGTCAGCTTCCGAAGGGGCTCTATTATAAAGATAATGAAATCACTGAACAATGATCATTAATATTACACTGTAAGCAAATTTTTGCTGAAGACAATTCAAAATGGTTATAATAATACATCTATATAGGAAGCCGTCAGAAACTCAAGCCAGATTCAGAAGAGAATGGAGAAATGGGGTTTTCATTGCTGAAGTCAGATAAATCATGGCTGAAAACAGAGAATATCAGAAAATCATTTACTCATGGT